GGTCTGCATGGGAGAATCTTGACCTCAGTCGCTGGTACAGACCTCACTGTGTTCGGTCTGTACTGGTGACCTCGGTCAAGATTCTCCCATACAGACCTCCTGCTTGGTTAATAAGAACTAAGTTATAGGTTTTAAGAATAAACAAACCTATCAGCTAGAGGTGGCATAATGATGTTACACCAAATTCTGTCAGCTGATTTACAAGGAAATGTAATACACAGAGACAGGAAATTTACCAAAAGTGATCCAAATGGTATGGAGGGAGGCTTAAGATCTTTACTTTATTTGACATAATCACTGTATTATTTTTCCTGTTGTAGGGTGCTAATGGAGCCAAGGGGGATACAGGTGACAAACCAACAGAGAGTGGTGAGAAAGGAAAGCAAGGACCAGTCGGAGACCAGGGTACAGTTGGAAGACAGGGAGTTCCTGGAGATAATGTAAATGAAATGCACTTGGTCCTCCACTGATAACCACCTCCTTATAATTGCCACTGTTATCATCCTTGGTGGACAGTTTACACATTTCCTGCAGTGTTAAACGCTACACAAGTGTCTCTCGACTGCCAAAATAACTGCTTGACAACAGCCAGTTAATGAACATTGTGGACAAATAGTATACCACTTTACCCTCATCAGCTTTACTCCTTCATAGCATGAATTTTTGGTGTCTCTGTTATTGATGTTGTTTAATGGTGTGTTGCATAATTATAAGCTGCAATGAGCTTTTTTTTTTTTTTTCGCAAAATGAAAATTAGTGCTAGTCTATCTGATAACAGATGTTCAGCCCTCCTTATATTGACCACCTCTCTACAAAATATACTTTCCTGCTCTCACAGTATAGCCATTGTACATTTTTTGTTGTTTTGCGTGGTTGTTCCACTGTATAATTGCTGCAGAAATACATGTATTTGTTAATAATAATAATAATAATAATAATAATAATAATAATAACAATAATAATAATGATAATAATAATAGTAACTTTTATTTATATAGCGCTCATATCCTGAGCTCATGGCGCTTTACAACACTGTGCGGGGGACTTTACCAGACTGCTAAGCAGTTTACAATCAATGAAAGGCGAATCTAACAGATGCCCCCTCCCCCCTATTCCCAGTAAACAGGCCAGACCACATCACAGTAATCTCGTGAGTGGGTTCTTTAACGTCCCCTGCCTAACCAAGTTAACTAATTAATAGATGCGGGAGACGGGATGTACGGTTTATTCGTTCTTATCTGAGAAGACTAGAATGTCTGTGTTTGTGGTCATTTCAGGGTGGCCACAATTTGTTGGATTAATTTTTTTTCATTGTATATAACTATGAACAAAGGAAAGTGAAAGGAAAGAATCTTTTAACCCTTAAACTTCTAAGAGTGACCAGTGTCTTATTTCTCCTTACAATATTGACCCTAAATCACACAGTAAGGTCACAAGAATAAAGGAAATGACCAAAGATCATGATCATTAAACAAATTCTCCTTGTCAGCCTCCTAGGAAATGTATGGGCAAAAGTATGGAGAATATGCATACTGATGTAAGGGTGTTAACTGTATTCAGACAAGATATCGTGTCTCAGCTTTTGGGAACGTGACCTGCTTGATCCAATACTCTGTTAAGTGCCATCAGAATTGAGATTTAGCACCCCTGCTTACGGGGGGGGGGGGGGGGGGGTATTATCATTATAATAGCAAGATATGATACCATTCTATACCAACCATAACATGTGCTTCCAACAGTCTGCTGAATAATTCTGCCAAAACTAAATCATTTAAAATAAAATGGCTTTCTTTCACTGCTCTCTGCAAATGACAAACTACCTCAGTTTTGAATAATGCCTGTGAATGACTAACAAACCTTGTATGGAGAATATGCATACTGATGTAAGGGTGTCACGGGTTAACTGTATTCAGACAAGACGTCTTGTCGTCTCAGCTTTGGGGAACGTGAGCTGTTTGTTTGGTTACGTAGGTTCATGGAGCTTATATCCGACTTATTTTGCAGGGAAATATGGGAGCCCCAGGAGATAATGGTACCATTGGTATCCCGGTAGATATATGTTAAGATAAATACCCTTCTAATTAATACAATATGATTACTGGTTATCTGCGTTAGGTGTCATTCTGGTATGCCACGCTTCTAATGTTTTTCTGGTTCTAAAAGAGCCTTTGTCAATAATTGACGCGTTTTCAAAATCAGTGGCGTGGTTGTTGGACCATGCGTGATTGAAATATGTTGCTCGTTTTGTATTGATTTTTGGATTGAAATATGTTGCTCGTTTTGTATGGACTCTCTTTTCCTTTAGAGCCGCGATAATATGATTACTTTAATAATTTACAACTTTTGCATGAATCTGTGCAAATACTTGTTTTTGCAAAGAGTGAATGAAAAATGTCAAGTGCAGACTGTGAAATTTTCTGAAGTTGAGGTGGAATCCTTCTCAAGGGAACAAGGAAAAAAGGCTTATTGTGAAAAAAGGAGAAGTTTATGCAGCAAGGAATTCTTTGCAAGGAAATATTAAAAAGGAATTCAGATACTTTTGCATTGGCTGTGTAAAAGAAAATTGGAATCTTACAAGGTAATTTTATTAATGTGTTCATGTTTTTTTCATTAGGGTGAGCTTGGGGCCCAAGGTGAACCGGGTGAAAGAGGCCCTCGTGGTGAACAGGTATGTTGATGACATTTTTCTCTGCAAGATTTTTTCTCATAATTGAAGCAGGTTTCATGTCATGATTAGATGTGACGTATCTTTTATCATAGACCTTGACGCTCTATAAAATAATATGAAAATCATATTTTACTCTTGTAAATTGTATTTACATGTTTTGGCCTGATTTTGCATGCCTTCATAACCATGCTACCTAAAAGGAATTGGTCAAAAACGACTTAAGGAATTTGTGATGAAAATACCTTTTACATAGTACATATCCCTTTGCAATGAAGATATTAGTCAAACAAAATTGATACTCCCTTTGAAAGTCCAAGATCGCATAGTTAGTATGACAGGTATTTGAAGATGTTCGTCATCACAGTTTGACTGTGATGACGAATATCGTTGTCGATAAGAGTACAGACCATGCTAAACCATTGTCAATTTGTTTTTTTTTTTTTTTTACCACAATATCGACGTCAAATAAAATGATTCTTTCAGTGCGTGACTTTCAGTGCGTGACTTTCAGTGCGTGACGCGTCGACGCGAGCAGCATTGGTCTTTACCGTTAACAAAAACGGCAAATTGGCTAATCAGATCGTGACATTACTGCCAACAGTTGTAAAATAATTGTTTGATTGTTTTTCACTTAAATTAATTTTAACGCTTGCATTTTATTCAGGGTTCCAAGGGTAACCCTGGATCTGCAGGTCCTATTGGTTCAACAGGAGAAAGAGGGGTAAATTTATCATTATATGTAGAGTCAACTACTAGTAGTATCTCAAATGGTTAACGTCTCTTAATGAACAGTTTGATTTTCCGACCACCAACATTTACCAGGGAAAAAGAGGGACATGTTGGCTCCTTCTTGGTTTAGAAGACACAGGGCACATCACATTAGAACACCACCTCACTATCCTATCGCTTTCATTTCGGTTTTGTCAACTCTGAGGTGAAGGGCTAACATCAGTTTTTAAAACTCCTTACGCTGGCCGATTTGCATTATCAGTTTCGTTGATAAAACCAAAAATACCTAGTTATACTTCCCCAATGACGCAGCACCAAAGTTTCTTTTGTAACTTAGCCCCTTTACTCTATCGATTTCATTGTTTTCCTCGTTATTTTGTCTTTTTGTTTTCTATTGTTTTATGTGAACTGTGTCTTCTACACCAACTAGGACCCAACATGTTTTTACCGCCAGTGGACTATTGTAATGGATCAGGTCTGAAAACAATAATTTCCTTTTGCAATTGGATTGACAGCCGGACGTTCCATGATAACTTCCAGTTCATCGTCTTAAACAATTGTACATTTCTGGTAGGCGCGTTCTTTTGGGAGAATCTAGACCAGGGTCGTTGGTCACGGGTCACTTAGATCATGGAACGCTAAAGGAAAGGTTTCTCAATTGAGAAATTGACACTGTTCATCAGTGTAATTAAATACATATGTATTAGAATGTCTTTTTTTTTTTAATTTTTACAGGGTGGACTGCCAGGTCGAATAGGTAATAAGGGAATGAAAGGAACGGCAGGTCGGACTGGTGACAGAGGAGGTCCTGGTAAACGAGGAGATGTGGGACCCCCTGGTTCTCCAGGTGCTTCTGTATTTGGACCTAAAGGTGATGTTGGTGAACCAGGGCCAACTGGTCTCCCTGGGGCCCCTGGCACTGCAGGTAAAATTTCCTTTAACCTTTTAAACCACAAAAGTGACTTGCTTGTAATTTCTCTACACAGTGTCACCCCTATATCAAACACAAAGATCGCGAGAATAATGAAAACTGATCAACAACTCTCAATACTGAGGACGATTGCTGGCATTTGTTGTGTATTGGGTAAATAGAAGAGGAATGTGGCAGCTCTCAGTCAGTTATGTTGAAAAATTCATTACTTGACGAGGGAATTCCGTGTTGAATTGCACTTGAAAACCGATATCGCGCCCATCGCCTCGCGATTCGTGCGATATCGGTTTTCAAGTGCAATTTTATGAGGAATATCCTCGTCAAATAATGGATTTTCCTTGCATCGCATAATTGAATAAAATCAGGAAAAAGAAAAGGAAACAGAATTATTTGTGATTGTTAGGTATACGTAGATGCGAAACAATATCACTTTGCCTCGTCTTCAACTCGCAGTTCCACGCTAAATACCTCGCTTCGTTAACCAATCAGATCGCGAGATTTTATTCAATGGTGCGATTGTATTCACGGTCAGTCAGCAGACTCAATTGTGCCTTTTCTTCCTCTTTGCAGGTTTTCCAGGTATGCGGGGAAATGCTGGACCACCAGGTGAAGAGGGACCGGTAGGTAGGAACGGTTCACTTGGACCACCAGGAGAGGATGTACCTGGACCCAAAGGTATGGATGGGTCACGAGGACCAAAAGGATATTCCGGAGAACAGGGCGAGTTAGGACCCAAAGGACCACCAGGTAAACAAAATCAGTCTGTTTTGGTTTGTTTTTCACTTTTGAAACCAATACACTATTAAAGCACATGAAGATCAAAAAGGCCCACAGCATTTTAAGTGCAATCGCAAGTGGTCCCGTCGATATGAGCCAGAGCCCTGTGAATTTCCATTCCGAAAGGGCTTTTATGGGAGTGAGGAAAACTGATTTTTGTAATTGGGTCGTTGCTTCAAAATGAACATGACTTACCGTGCATTAGTATTGTGTTTTCAACTGACGGTGTACTTCTGAAGCGATTCCAAAACTATTTTGAAGGAGTTCCTATTTCATTTTGAACTGCCTATAAAGATGTTGAAAATTAAACATCTTAAATGACAGTTACCCCTTGAGCTGGCTGGCTTAACGCGACCAATATAACTTGGAGCTCCATAATTGCTTAAAAACGGTTCAAACTCGCAAAGTAACTATTGTTGGACCTGTCGTTAATGGATCATTCGGTCTGATGCTTTGTCAGTTTTTGGTAGGTTTGTTGTCATGTTTCTGTACATTTTGACAGCTACGAGTAACAGTGACATTACTTGTGTCACCAATCATAAATAGAATCTTAGTTTCTCCAACAGCGTGCAACCCACGTCATGTATGATCTATTTATTTATCATGGTATTGCATTACTATATTGTGAGAAATAAAATGGGTTCCGATATAAGAGATGATGCTCTAGAACTAAGCAGCCTTGGGACTTGTATTTACCGCCGCCCGGTTAGCTCATGTTGTAGAGCGCTGGATTGCCGTGCGGGAGTTCAAGCGTTCAAGCCTCGGACTGGACCAACTCTAAGGGTCTTAAAATATCTCAGGAGAATGTGCTGCCTTTGTTGTGACATCTGCAAGTGGTTAGACATTCTAGTCTTCTCGGATAAGAACGAGAAACCGTAGGCCCCGTCTCCTGCATCTTCTCTCTACTGGTTGGCAGAGAACGTTGAACTTATTGCAAAGAGTAGGGAACGTAACTTCCGGTGTTGTGGTCAGGCCTCAATATTAGGGACCTTAAGAAACCACGACGGCGACGCCAAGCAAGACTTCGATTAAAAAATGAATTTCTACTCTTTGTCAGAATTTCTAAAATGGCTGCACGAGCTTACTGTCTCATACAGCGCCACAGCTCAACCTCAGCACGACGTATAAAGTAGCCTTTGAGTTCCAAATGGAAATTAAAATAATTTGCCGTCGCGGTTTCGGTTCGCAGACGACGCAAATTTTGGCGATTTCACGTTGTTGTGTTGCATAGGACGGCTAAGAAATGTACAAAGTTTCAAAATGCACGTGCTGAGCTATTGTTCTGCCAATTAGATCTCTTGTTTTTCCACGTCCTCGTTGCCGTTGCCGTCCCCGTCGTGGTTTCTTAAGGTCCCTATTGTCTTTAAAGGCCCCCGTTTAAACCAGCTTTGAGCTGAACTGGGCCAGCCTGTCTGAATATCGCAAAGGCAAATATCGCGAAATCAAACGACACTGCCTTTTCATCGTATTGACATAATTTTTTCTTTTCGCAGGGAGGGTAAAAAGTTGCAGCTAAGTATGACAATTTTTGCATTGCTTTCCTTTTTTCAGCTGAACCACTGTTTTGTCCGGAGGGAGACTGTCCAGATCCCAGAGTTGGTCTCAAAGGGCCCCCAGGCTCACCAGGAAGTCAAGGAGTAAGGGGCGCCCAAGGATTACCAGGAGAGAAAGGTGCAAACGATACGTGTCCTATTTGTCCTCCAGGGCCCAGAGGTCCTAAGGGGGAAAAAGGATGGATCGGGGACGATGGAACTCCTGGGGAGAATGGTACAGATGGAAACAAGGGTGCACAAGGGACGACTGGGGATCGTGGTCCACAAGGTCCTGATGGTTCACCTGGACCGAAGGTATAGCAACTTTAAATCTCACTTCCACCGTGAAAAATTTAGGGTATGCCCATAATTCTGCTCCAGGATTCCCTTTTCTGAGCTTCTTAAGTATCGGCCATTAGTCTTGAAACTCGTTTCTAATTCTGTTCAGACTTTTGCTTTCGAAAGTGCTTTTTGATATCTATTTGTGTTAGACTGCAGTGTAAAGATTTGCTATCTTCAGAGTTGGTTGAACTCACATTTTCATCTCTTTAAGCCGTAGAAAAGTCAGGGATGACGCAAAAGTCATGAGTAAACCGTACACGCATCTCTAAACCCTGTACACCCTAACATCAGTATGTATATTCTCCATACTGTTCTCTATACATTTCCTAAGGTGCTGATAAGGAGAATTTGTATGAAAATCAATAGCTTCTGTAGTTGTTGATCATTTCCATTATTCTCCTGACCTTAATGTGTGATTCAGGGGTGATATTGTAAGGAGAAATTAGATGCTGGTCACTCCTACGTATCAAAGGATTAACTGTGTTGAGATGCCTTCATCTTTCTGAGCCCTCAAGAGTGACCAGCACCTAATTTCTCCTTACAATATCACCCCTGAATCACACACCAGGGTCATGAGAATAAAGGAAATGATCACCAATGAAAGAAACTCTTGATTGTTAAACAAATTCTCCTTGTCAGCACCTTAGAAAATGTACAGAGAACAGTATGGAGAATATGCATACTGATGCTAGGGTGTAAAGGCGGTTAAAAGGGTTTTCCTTTAAGTGATAAAAAGACTGTGAAAAAATGTAGAATTTTTTTGTTACATGCTCTTAAACCTTGCAGTTAAAGCTAAAAACATGTAGTTGCCAATACAGTTAGCTCAACGAAGTACAAAATGTCCTAAATGATTAATGATTAATGATTAATGATAATGATTAAACTATCACTTAACGTGCTAAACTTTGTAGTAATTAACAATTATTCCACGAGCGCGCGTTGGATATGAGATGATAGATGGCCAACGAGGCGCGTAGCGCCGAGTGGGCTATAATCATCTCATATCCAACAAGCGCGAGGGGAATAATTGTTTTATTAAAAGCGTTAAATTAAATTATTAAATTTTATTAAATTTTTGGCTCCCTTTTAATTTTAAGCTGACACGTACGCTTACCATGTTTGTAGATTATGGTA